AATTTCTTAAATAATAACAATAACAATAATAATAATAATAATAATAATAATAATAATAATAATAATAATAATAATAATAATAATAATTAATAATAATTAAAGTACCTATCAGGTATAAACAAATCATCTTTAGAACATCCACAAACATGAGACATTTTAGTAATAAGATGTACATCAGGGATTTTTATCATGTTATTTAGCATTTCTTTGATCATTATACCAAATCTATGTATAATTTTTGGATGTAATTCTTTGATATGTGAAGTAGTACTTAACACTCTAACTTCAGTAAAATTTTTAATTTTGTCCATGGTAAAGATGAATAATTTCTTGTAAATTTCATTTTGATTTTCAATTATTGGCAAAATGTAAGAAAAATCATATAATATTGAATGCACAATTTTCCATTCCTCATTAACATAAGCTTTAGAAGATTCGTTGACCTTACTCAATCTCATTTGATACCACCGACCACAAATAAAAGGGATATCTTCATCTTTCAGCTCTTTTTTTTCAAAAAGTTCATTTTTTTCATCTTCGTCTTCTTCATTACCATCCTCTTCAGCTATTTCATCTACATTATCTTTAAAATATTTAAGATAGTGATCCAATATTTTAGTAAAGAAAATTAATAATTTTGGATGATTTGATTTAGAAATACAATCTAGTGAATTGATAACATCTGCTTTCTTCCATTTTAGCAACTTGTTGAAAAATAACATTGAAATTGGTTTTATGTATACTTCAGTCCAATTGATTTGAGCATTCAATAAACTTAAAACTTTTTTACGGAATGGTTCTGCCAATATTTCTTTCAAATTATTGGGAACTTTTTCATAATCTTCCAATAAATCTACTGGACCGTCAGAAGCAATAGTTCTTTGAAATGAATTAGTGAAGGCATATACTATTAATTCCTCTTTTTCTCTTTTATGATCAATAAAGTCATTCCACATTGTAATTAATGTGTCCATTGTGTTGCATAATCCAATCAGCCACTTTATAAAAATGAAATATTTAATCAAACTTATTCAAGGATGAATAAAAAGGGATATATATATATCAAAAATAATAAAACTATTAGATTATTTACCTGAGCAACTTTAGAATAAATTAAATCATCTTCAATTCTATCAACATAAGTTAAAACTTGCTTAGGAAGATATTTAAATAATTTTTTCATTTGTTCATCATTTAAATCAATATCAACCAAAGCATCTAAGAAATTATAATTAGGGTCAACAATATCTGCTAAAGCAAAAATTTTAAGCCATGCAAAACTATTTATGCTGGCCAAGTGGCGACATATGGCAGATACTGCCAATGTAATTTCTTGTTCATGTCCAGGTGGTAAAGTGTCCGGCTGAATTTTTTCAATTGCTTCAAGTAATAAAATTGATCCAAAATTTGAAGGTAAAAATAGATTACCACTAAATAATTCAAACTGACGTTGGATAATATAATGACCTATTAATATAAGGCAAAAAATTCTTTTTTCCCTTAATTTATTATCTTTAATGACTTCATCTATGTATCTTATGGTTGTGAAATTTTTGGAATATGTCAATGATAATGAATTGAGTTTGACAGAAAAGCCTTTAGATGATGATGAAATAGTCCAAATGGTTTTGGATGAAGCAAACAATGTAAATGATGAATCGGAAGGTGAAGATATTGATGAACTGAAAGTCATTGCAACCAATGAAGATGCTTTGAAAGCAGTAGATACATTGATTGAATATTTTGAACATCAAAATGATTTAGAGTTTAATGAGAATTATTATAAAAATTTAAAAAAATATTGAGAGAAAGATTTTTTTTTCAAAAACACAAAAAAGTTTAGAATCTTTTTACAATATTTAAATTTTTTTACTATTATATAAATTGTAGCCTATTTTTAATAATAAAGTTACATTCATTAAATTTTTTTTTATAATCACCAAATTTTTAAATTTTTATAACAAGTGACTATCTGAGAGGTGTTTTATACAGTCACATTAGCTATAATCATCAAAAATCTCTGGTCCCGAGGATGTGACTGTATAGGAGTCTGACTGTAATTGTTTTGCAATTTTATGTATAAATTTATATATTATATATGTTTTGTTGAGTATTTTTTAATGAAAATATTGGAAAATATTATTCCAATACTGTACCAAGGTACTGATTCAACATATGAAATAAGAAACTTACTCAATATTACAAAAAATATTATACCCAAAACAATTGGAAATAAAATTATTATTATTTATGATATTGTCTATTATGAGTTCATTCCTTGCTATTGAAACTATTATCTCTAAAGTTTGTGCAATATAAATTAATAAATTTAAGTATAGTCCACTTTCAATTCTTCTCAGCAAGTGAAGACAAACAGTTATAAATATACTAAGAGTAGCAATTAGAATATTTAGACGAAACTCCTATTTTGGTAAAAAGAGACAAAAGAACTAGTAAATATAAAATAAAATTTTTTAGTAAAAACTCAACAGTAAATATATTATGTCGTCCTAATACATACACCTCTTTTTCATTCTTCCTTATTCGCTTGCTTCACTTGCCCTATGCAAAGTTTAAATACTTATTTTCTACTTATTTATACGTATTTTTCTTATAGAGGTATGTTTTGACATGTATTTTAAATACATTTCATAAAATGATGATCATTAATTTTTTACAAAAATTGATTGGATACACTTATTTTATCATTAAAACATCCTTATTTTTTTGCAGTAATAGAAACATTTGTGTACTTATAGTAATAAGTATGTTTTAAATATTATTAACTTCAGAATAAAAAATTAAAATTTATATAGTATAAAATAAGTATGTTTTAAGTATTATTAACTTTAGAATAAAAAATTAAAAAATTCAATTTGTGCGTTTCCTTTTTAATTTTTTTAATTAAATGTAACTAAAATATGCCACATGAGTTTGTTACCAAATTTTTATGATTGTTTTTCTTATTTATAGATAATTTTTTTTAACATAAGAAAACAACAAAATTAAACCAGTACAATGTCAATTAACATTTTTGGTCAAATTTTTTATTAATGTAAGAAAACAACAAAATTAAACCGGTACACATTTTTGGTTGAATTTTTTATTTTTTTTGAATGAAATTTTGATACAGAGCCTTTTTTATCTTGTTTTTTTAATAAAAAAGGGTTTTTGATGTTTCGCGAAAATGGTTGCGTTGTGTAATAATTGATAATTGATAATGATAATTGATCACTGCCTCAAGGAAATTTTTTTGGTACAAAAGTTGTATTTATAAAGAAAAAAAAATATAAAAATGTATTCATTTTTACATCATTTTTGTAAATTCTTTTTTTTTTTTGGCAAATTCTCAACATTTTTGTAAATTAAATTAACTTTTTTTTAAAAAAAAATTTCAACACAACTGCTATATACACCTTGGTTTAATATATAAAAAAGATTTCTTTTGGGTAGTAACTTATAATTATATACATTATCTACACTTGGATTATTATTGTACATATTTTCTTTTAGGTGAAAAAGATAATATTTTCTTTTGAAGAAAAATAATCTTTGAAGAGATAAGTGTTTTGAGCATGGAAGTTTAAAGTAACAAAAGGTTACGCAACTAGTAAGGAAAAAAGAAGAAAAGAAAATCAGCATGGTGGACATTTGAATATCACGTAAATTGTTACACAGATTATTTATATTGTTTAAAAATAATCAACCAGTCCCATCAATTAAAGTGGGTGCAAGTGTGCTAATTAATGACCATTCAAACTTCAATATATTATTCTCTTAGTTGTTTTATACAAACTGTCAAAAGATCACAGAGAAGATCACACTTTTCAAAATTGCAATCTATTAAATGCTGCTTAAAAAACAATTCTGCAATTACTGTAAAGAAAAATTCTCAACATTTAGAAATGTTACTGAAGATGTTAAGAAAAAAGCTAACAAGGGAGAATTTTTTGTAAACATTGGTGATTCTCTTTGTACAAATTGTTATAATTTTGTGGTGCAATATGACAGGAATCAAAAATACAACAAGAAAAATGATAACAAGCCATTTAAAAGACATGAGTCAACTGAAAATATTGCAACTGATAATAATAATTCTTTAGCATCAATTGAAGAGTTACAAAATGAAATAACAAAATTAAAAAAAAAAATAGAAGCTCTTACAATGTATTCAATAAATGAAATGACAGGTAAAAGATTTAGAATATAAATATATTGATGATATACAGTTCACTCTCTTTATGATGATAATAATAATAACAGATCATTTGATGAAAAAAATATCATTACATATTTATATATATTTATATATATATTATATTTTTTTTTTTTTTGTTGGAATTATTTATTTAATTTATATTTTATATTTTACATATTTAACATAATGATATATTGATTCAAAATTAATAACTTTATGTATACATCTTTAGATGCAGTTAATTTTTCAAGTATTTTCAATGACAAAATCAAAAGATTAACAACTGTTCTTGACAACTATCAACATCATGAAAATAATGAGCCTATAAATGATCCTGATGAATTTATCAAAATGATTGAAACAAGAGATCCTGAATTAATTGGTTTTTTTGAGATGCTTTATCAAAGTATGAATCCTGTTTCAAAAAATCCAACAACATTATACAATTTAAAAAAAAAGGTAATGATACTTTGTTATCAAATGGCAGGTTTAAGAAATAAACAGGTAACTTCTGCAAAAAAAAAATTGGTTTATATTTGTCTAGCTCAGGTACTTCAGCATCAACTATAGACACTTTATCAAATTTGGGATTTACAACTACATATAAAACTGTAATAAGAGAAAAAAAAAATATAGTAAAAAGTCATGAAGAAAGATTACTGGAATATTTAAGAAATAAGGTATGATTGTAATAGATTAATATTTATTAATTTGAAATAATAAAAATAATAATAATTTTTTTATCTATTTTAAAGCTTAATTTCCTTAATGTGTTGTTGATTGATGATTATCATGATATTCATCAAGCAAGAA